CCAGAAGGGCATTTCTAGTCAGACAGGTTTCTGGGTCACACAACCCCAAGCTGGGACCCCAGCTATCCCTCCCATTTCCTCCAACCCTTTGAGATGACTCAGTTTCCTGAGCATACCTGCTGAAAGTCCTCCTCCCTGAGCTTCCGAGAACTCAGTACTTGTCAGGACAGCATGTCACATGTACACTGCTTAGCACACAGCACAGTACTTCGTAACTACTGTTACCCAGAGAACAGGGCAGGGCCCCTGGCTCCTCAGATCCTATGCTTTCTGAATCCCTCTCTAAGTCACCTAGATGCAAACAATTACTAGCAAAGTAAAACACAGAACAGACACATTTGGGACCAAGGGTTTGGCTCAGATTTAGAGCAATTGCCTAGTGCCCTAGGTTGACCCCCAAGACTTCAAAAAAGCAAACAAAAAGAGTACATTTAGAGATTATTTGAATCCCCTTAAAAAGCATTTGTAAGAACCCAGAATTATCTAGAGAATGCTTAAACACCGCCCTGTTGTTTTGTTCCTTCTAGGCTGGTGTGACTTATGGTCCTATCTCCAACACTAGCCAATGTTCAGCCATTTGTAGGCAGTCAGGTGTCCCTGAAAGGACGAGGCTTGCCCCACTCTGGAGACCTGCTGAGGCAGTAATGCGGAGCCCGACTGGCGAATCCAAGTCTCTGAGTGCTTCAGGAATCCTCCATGTGGCTGGTCTGTGACCAGATCGGCCCTTTCTTTCTCTACAAATATCCCAATCGACTATACTCTGCTATTTCTTTTTGGATCAAGGACATGATAGCCTGAGCACAGACACTAGAAATAGCCCCTAAGGAAGGCCAGACACTATTTTAAACATTACAGAAACTGGGTGCTATGCCTGGCAACAAGGTGCCAGAACCTAGTCCTCATGCTATGATTTTGTCTTTGACATTTAAATAATAATTAAAAAAACTAATAATGTTTAGCTAGCTGTTCCCCTAGGGTTTGGCCCAATGTGGTTTCTACAAGATTATTCCATCTACACAAGCATCTGGTGACTGTGTGGCACCCGTTGATGTGTAAATACTACCTAAGTGACAAGTTGGCAGGTTCCTGTCATGACAATTGCATACACTTTTGATCATGTAATTACTTATAAGCCTAAAAAGTAAGCACAAAATGTCTGATATCCATTATGCCTTTAAAAGTACTTAAAAGTATTGAGGAGAATGATCTGACATTTAACATGTGTTTTCTTAATCAAAAGTGTCAAATCTGAACTGAGGACATGGCACAGTGGCAGAACACCTGCCTAGCAAGTTCAAGATCCTGGACTTATTCCCAGCTCTGCAGAATTAAGTACCAAGTCCTCAGAGAGCTGTTGGTGGAACTTGGCAAATGGTGAGCAGTGTCAGTCACCATGGAAAACCATAACCTGAGAAACACTTCCTGAAATGTGGTCGCTGGCCTCCCACCACGCATGGCTCTTCTTCCACTCGTGAAAATGCCTTTCCTATGCTGGCTTCAAACACTGCTGCTCATGCTCTCTGAAACCTGATCTAAGGCTGAATTTAGGCACTGGTGGTGTCTGCTCCTCCCATGTTTTATATATTACATCTTGGGACTCATAAAGCCCATATTCAGATCTTGGCTTTAAACGTAGCAGGTATGTGGCTTTGGTTAAGTTGCTTAAAATGGAAGCAATAACTATGCTTACTTATTGAGTTGTTACCAGGGCATCCTAATATGCAAAAAGAAAAAGAGGAGGAGGAAGAAAAGGAAGAAGAAGAGGAAGAGGAGGAGAAGGAGGAGGAGAAGGAGGAGGAGGAGGAGGAGGAGGAGGAGGAAGAAGAGGAGGAAGAGGAGGAGGCTAGCGCTAAGCACTGTTTTTAGTATTATTTTGTTGGATAAAATCAGTATACTACTCCTGTTTTTACAAGTGAATAAATCAGGTGCACAGAGAGCAAGTCACTAGCAATTATTAAGCTCCTTAGAACTGAAGTATATGAAGAAGAAGTAGTTTAATGAGAAGAGCATACGGATTATGATTTACTGACATGAGCATCAGACTATTCGCTATTTCTCAGTCAAACGTGAAGCGTTTCTCAGCATCGTTCAAAGGATCATTTTTCACCACTTGCAGAGCTGTCAGTGCATTATTTCTCCTGCTCCGAGTCTGGTTTCCACAAGCGCTTGAGTGCTTGCATAAATAAAAGCAAGAGAACTGTCTGTGAAATTCAAACGATGTTACTTTCCACATTTTTTTTGACATTCAAGTCAAATCTGGAGCCTCTTCTTCATTGTACATCCTGTCTTCTGCATCCTTTTCCATCTGGAGTAAAGTCAGCCTCGGCTGGAGGAGAAGAAGCCTCTGTACTTCTCCTCCAGCAGCCCCAGATTTAATGTAGAGACTGTAGCTAGCACACACACTGTTCTGAAATCATTTTTCATTATTCAGAGACTCCTAAGCATGAATGTTCCCATGCCTTTGGTCGTAATCCAGGAGAAACCGTAGTTCCTTCAATATACTCTCTGAGCTTCCAAACAATACATTCAAAAATGATCTAGCATTCCTTGTATTAGTTGGTATTTTTCTTTCAAAACCCAAATCCTGTTTTATTCAAATCTGTACCAAAGCTATCCTCTATGAGCACAGTAGTAAGTACAGAATTTGTTCAGACTTAAAATACCAGCTTACCAGCTTTCTAGCTTCGTCTTCATAAAAACAATGGTTACTCCACTGTGCAATCATTCTGCACAAAGCGACAACACTGAGTAGAAGTGGCTCCTTCTGCATGTCTTTATGTATCAGTGATGTGTTAATTTACTCATTTTTGCTTAGCTGGAAAATTTTCTAATGAGTTCTTTTAAAATCTGGCTATTTCATATGAAAATGTACATTTTTCAGTTTTACTTTAAAAAGCAACATTTTGGGGCTGGAGAGATGGCTCAGCGGTTAAGAGCACTGACTGCTCTTCCAGAGGTCCTGAGTTCAAATCCCAGCAACCACATGGTGGCTCACAACCATCCGTAATGAGATTTGATGCCCTCTTCTGGTGTGTCTGAAGACAGCTACAGTGTACTCATAAGTAAAATAAATAAATCTTTAAAAAAAAAAAAGCAACATTTTAGGCCCCACACTCTCAGCATGGTAAACAGCTGTCTGGAGCTTAGCAACTGTGCCCATAAAGGCAGCATGAGTTCCTAATACCATTCAGGATGCTAGGTAGGGGGAGGGGAACCACGTCATTCACAAAAATTACAACCTATTCCCTAGTGAGAGCTCAGATTGCAACCTCCATTCTGTATCCTGAAATGTTCCTCTAGTTTCCATTTACATTTTTATTTTATTTTATTTTATTTTATTTTATTTGTATGAGCATTTTGCCTGCATGTATGTACATGTACCATGCAGGTACCCGGTGCCCATGGAGGACAGAGGAGGGTGTCAGATCCCTTGAAACTACAGTTGCAAATAGTTATGAGGCACCATGTGTGTGCTGGAAATAGAACCTGAGTTCTCCAGGAGAGTAGTTACGGTTGTTAATCACACTGAGCCTTCTCTCTAGCACCCCTAGTTTCTATTTTAAATACATACATTGTGACCCAGAAATGCAACTCCTGAAAAAAAAAAAAAAAACAGGGACGATCCTACAAATCTATCTAGATGTCAACTGCAATATAGCTTCTAATGACAAAAAAAAAAAAAGGATCACCCCCGACAGCAATGTGGACTGCTGAATAAACAGCAGCAGAATTCCATGCAGTAGAATACCAGACAGCCTCCAAATACAGTAAGAAGGAAAAACGTAAGCATAAAGAAATAGAAATGTGTCCAGAACACAGTAAGCAGGAGAAAAAGCAAGTCACAGAAGACTATATGATCTACAGTCCAATCTGTGAGAAACGAATAATTTATATGATTTCATTTCAATATTTAAAAGAAAATACAAGCTTTTAAAATTAATCATATAGTACTTTTATATTATTTTTTTTAAGGGAAAAGCCCTGTGCACAGATATTTTAATTCATTTCATGTGCAATAACTATCAAATCAGTTTTTTGTCTTGGTAACAGTCTCTGAGAGTCAACCTCTGTATCATTTCTTGAACAAGACTAAACAACAAACCCCTCTGGGTGAACATCCACACCAGGCTAAAATGCATACTGCTAAAATACGTCTTTCATTTCACATATCTCAGGATGAGTCCCTACAACCAAGCAGGATGAAGCAGAAAGATTTCTTGAGCTCCCGGGTTCAAGATCATCCTGGACCACATGACCTGACGTATAGTCAGGCTCTATTCTTTCTTTCCAGCTGGTCTCCTTGCAATTACTATTTCTTTTTACTTAGTATGTGTACGTACACCAGAGGTTAACAGTAGGTCCTTAGATGTCTGCCACCTTGGCTCTGTGTAAACGTATGTGTGTGCACATAGGTGCACACTCACATATGTGCCATAGTGTTTGTGGGGTGGGGTGCAGAGGACAACCTCTAGGATCAGTCCTCGCTTCTACCCTGTTTGAGAGAAGGTCTTTCCTGCTGTTCATTGCTGTGTATTTCCAGGCTAGCTGGCTTGTAAGCTTCTGTCAATTCTGTCTCTGCCTGTCATCTCCCAGTAGGAGCATGCTAGGATTACAGATTCATGTGACTTCTACCTGGGTTCTGCAGGTCCCAACTCAGGTCAGCAGCCTGGCATAGCAAGCCCTTTACCACTGAGCCATCTCTCTAGCCTTCCACTTTACCTTTGAGACAGGACTTCTCGATGAACCCAGAGCTCACTGATTCAATTCAGCTAGACCGGCTGACCCAGTGATCCTCCTGTGTCTCCGCCTCCTCGGCACTGAGATTACAGGCAAGTGCTGCAATGCCTAGCTTTTTTATGTGAGTTCTTGGGGATCAAACTCAGGTTCTCACGATTGCACAACAAATACTGTACTGACAGAGCCAACCCCACCCGAGCCCTGAAATTGCCATTTCTGTACATAGGAAGCTGTACACAATAAGGTGTCAGAAGGTCCTTTACCTCTGAGTCTTTGGTCTGCTGATTACGAATGACTATCAGATTATACAAGATCCTGTCATCATCTGCCTCTGTGTGAGACACGTCATGAGGCATGCTCCATAAATTCTTTTCATCATCCCTCTCCAGAGTTGCTCCAAAAGAGGAATATGGATTGTTATCACTGTGAAATAAAGAAAGAAAGCATAAGAATTTTGTTATATATGTGTATTATATATTATATACCATATGTATAGCATGTTATATATTATATATGTAAATCTTACACTATAAATAAAAATGTATAACTTCTCTATAACAAAAAGGTCTAAGTTCTTTTTAATAATTAAATATAAACACAATACAATTAATAACAAACTTACTTAATTAATCACTTTAAAAATAGCCAGAAAGGAGCCGGGCGGTGGTGGCGCACGCCTTTAATCCCAGCACTTGGGAGGCAGAGGCAGGCGGATTTCTGAGTTCGAGGCCAGCCTGGTCTACAGAGTGAGTTCAAGGACAGCCAGAACTACACAGAGAAACCCTGTCTCGAAAAACCAAAAAAAAAAAAAAAAATAGCCAGAAAGGGATGGGAAGATGGGTGCCTAGCAACAAGCACACACAAGCCTGGGTCTGTGGAAAAGACTCAGTTAGGAGCACTGGCTGCTCTCCCAGAGGACCCAGGGTTCAGGTCACATAGCAGCTCACAAACATCTGTGACTCCTGTTCCAGGGGATCTGAACCCTTTCTGGCCTCTGTGGCACAGGCACACCTGTGCACGGACATATAAAAATTATAATTTATTTATTTTTATTTTATTTGCATTGGTGTTTTTGTCTGTGTGTATATCTGTGTGACAGCTTCAGATCCTCTGGAACGGGAAATTACACATGAGCTGCCATGTGTACTCCGAGAGTTGAATCCATATTATCTGGAAGATACAGCCCCAAGAAAAATTTAAATCCTAAGCAACAAATATACATGCCCAAATACTTTCAGGATCAAGGACTAAGAATTTCAGTTGTAGACTGGGGCAATGGCTGAGTGGATTAAAACAGTTCCTGGCTGGAGAGATGGCTCAGCAGTTAGGAGCACTAGCTGCTCTTCCAGAGAAGCCAGGTTCAATTCCAAGCATCCACGAGGAGGGTCACAGCCATCTGTAACTCCAGTTCCAGGGTATCCAACACCCTCGTCTGGCTTTGAAGGGTACCAGTCACACATGTGCAAGCAGGCAAAATACCCATAAACATTTTGTTTATTGGATCCAGTGTAGTGGTGTACATCTTTAATCCCACATTCAAGAGGCAGAGGCAAGCTGACCTCGATGTGCTTGAGGCTAGCCTGGTCTACCTAGCAAGTTCTAGGGAAACTGAGGCTACATAGAAAAACAAAAACAAAACAACAACAACAACAAAAACCTACTTGCTGCACAAGGGTGAGGACCAGAGTCCATATCTCCAGAACCCAGGTGAAAGCTGGGTATTTGGCAGCCCACCTGTAATTACAGCCTCAAACAAGCTGGTTAGCAAGACTAGCCATGTGATATCAGCAACCTCTGTCTGTGTTTGACCGAGAGACTCTGCCTCATCAAAAAAGGTGGAACAGAAGGAGATGATCTCCTGACATTAATGTTGGGCCTCCACATACATTTTGTACCCATGTGCCTGCATTCCCACATACATACATGCCCATATAGATATACATGCACAACACACACACACAGAGAGAGAGAGAGAGAGAGAGAGAGAGAGAGAGAGAGAGAGAGAGAGAGAGAGAGAGAGAGAAAGAGTTAGTTCAGTCTGTTCCATGTTTGGCTTTGGGAAGACTGGTGACGAAGCATCACAGACGGGACATGCCTGCACATAGCCCTAGTTAACATCTGAAGGACAGTCAGTCAGCCACACTGGAGCTGCTCATTTCATGTAACAACATGTATGAAGGGTGATAACACCTTAATCACGGGACTCAGTAAAGCTGTGGGACATGACTCCTGTCTCTGGTCCTCAGTAAAACCAAGAATTGGAGACTGCTACTGGATGATCACATGGCTATCTAATTAAAAACTATGGCAAGTGCTATAAAGGGGGCAGTGGGAGAGCACATCTAGGATGCTGGCAGCAGATCCCAGATCCCAGCAGCAGTAGACATTGTGCATCCAAATGGAGAAACCATGCCAGACCTGTAAAGAGGCACGTAACAACAGAGCTGCCAGCAAGGGAGGCCTGTGAGGAAACTCGGCGGGTGGCGGGTACACTGGAAGAAAGGGAACACTGGCCAGAAAAATGAGGGAAGCTGGAGAGGAAGCTCAGGGCTAGAGACACACATTCCATGGGTCCACCCAACCTTTTTCTAGGTTGGTGATGAGCAGCATCAGCATCTCAAAAACCAGGTAAAGTGTGGGGAATGCTTGAGCTATGGCAGGAAAAGAGTCGAGAGATTTTTCTTTTAACTATGCAGTTGAGGAGCTAGGCATGGGCACAGCAAGCTGTACCATCCTGTGCTACACAGAGATACCCTGTGTATAAAAAGAAGAGGAGGGGGAGTGGGACTCCCACTGGACTGGGAAGCAGCAGAGCTGTCCAGAAAGAGAGGTGCACTGGGGCTAGAGTGAGTGGGTATAGACCAGGCTGTCAATCAAGTCCTCAGATGTGGGAATGACAGCCAGAACCCACACAGGAAAGCCAGGGCAAAAGTGAGGAGGACACTGGAGCCAAGGCCGACCAGAGGCCAGCTATCTGGCCCAGCACATCAGAGGCCAGTTACCTGGCCCAGCACAGGACCTAGATGATGAGTACTGAACAGTGTGGGTAAAAGCCCTAGCTACAGCCAGGCGGTGGTAGTACACACCTTTAATTCCATCACTTGGGAGGCAGAGGCAGGTGGAGTTCAGTGAGTTCAGGGCCAGCCTGGTCTACAGAGTGAGTTCCAGGACAGCCAGGGCTACACAGAGAAACTCTGTCTCAAAACAAAACAGAGAGGGGAGGGGAAGAGGGTGAGACAAAAGTTGTCTTGATGCTCTGTGCATAAAGACTTCAATAAGCATGCTGAATTCAATCATTCATGCAAACCTACACTGGTGGTTACTTATCAAAATCGCAGATGTTGATACCTGAGTCCTTTGTGCCCTTACAATATAGGAAGGTAAGTACAATTTACAGCACAAAATGAGGAGAGCAGAGAGGACGAACTCATCGACTGCATGAAAGGAGAAGGAAATTTGAGGGTTCTTACGGAGACAACATCAGCCTTTCACCTAAAGGAGGAGCAGAGGAGCGAGGGCAAAGAATCCCATCGGGGAAAAACATCTCAGGAAAGGGCAGCAGCACTGGGAGGCTTCAGACACCCACAGGCTGGGGAACTCCAAGCTCTTGCACCCACACACTGCAGCGATACAGTGCCAGGTGGTGAAGACGCAGGGTGATTTGATGTCAGGCTGAGGACAGCGCTAGTCCAGGCTTCTGTCCCATGAGTTGTGACAGGTCAGATCAAAGAGTTGTAGAGCAATAACTCTGAAGGGGGAGTAAGGAAATTGCATAGTTGGGGGCAGTGTCACAACCAACTGTCACGTGAGGAGGGCTGTGTGCCTTCGTCACGGTTCTATTGCTATGAAGAGACACCATGACAAAGACAACTCTTACCAAAGAAAGCAGACTTAGTCCATTATAAGCATGGCGCTGGGGAGCATGATGGCTGAGTAGGGTTCTTTTTGACTCCTAGCTCTTTCAGCCTCTAAGCCATGGCACCTTAGACTCCACACTTGTATCAAGGGCTCTCCCATTCCACCCCTCCTCTTATACAGCCATCTGGGACAGGAGGGTGAGGGCCACTGTCTCACTTGATAGCTAAGAACTAAACTTCTCCAAGGAAAGGCTGCTCATTAGCACTGACCCTTCTCCTGGCTGCCCAATGGGTAGCCAAGAGCGGGATAAAGCTTGGTGTGCCTGTCTTCTATTTTCCTTCGTCTCCTTTGTCTTAAAACTTCAGATCAGATTCTTGTTCTAGTCTGCACATGGACATGTTAATTATTTAAGGGGTGTCTGTTGAAAAACAGGCAATACAAAGTTAATTAGCATTAAATTTACTTAACCTATCTCAACCGTCAAGACCAAAGGCATAAAGATAAGATAACTAAGGTACTTTCCAGACTGGTAGAAATCCAGCTACATCCAGCTGTCAGCTTTTACAATATCCTGCTCTGCATCCCCTGGAGTCCAGCCTAGAATCCCCTAGGCCTATAGTCACATGGGTTCCAGGAACACAGAAGCCTCACTCACAGACAGACTGCCTCAAGATGAGCTCATCCCTAAGTGGGATCAATTACTCAATGACAGTAACTGAATGCCCCTAGCCCTACAGCAGGGCAATCATCTCTCAGGAACTGAATTGTCTGTCCCATCCCATCTCCTGCCCCGCCCCTTCACACTCACACACATACACACACAAACAAACACACACACACTTCATCCAATGTTAAATGCCAGCCTTCTTCATCTGTAAGCTAGAGAGACACATAATAGGAAGGTTAAAAATGTAACATATAAGGCAGACAGTGGTGGCACATACCTTTGATCCTAGCACTCTAGAGGCAGAGGCAAGAGGGTCTACAGAGTTCTAATTAAGGGCATGGTTTTGAAGATAGCCCATGAAGAGCCTCAAGCTCTGCCTAGTCACTGATACTCAATGGAAAACAGGAAAAGAACGGGGGGGGGGGGGGGGCGGCCCTGAGTGAACTCTCCAGGGTGTCGCCCTCCTTCATCAGATGCTCCCATCTGAGCCCACTTGTCTCTGGACAGCCACATCCACCCCACCATGATATCTCCCCACCAGGACCCAAGTGGCTGTGTTCTTCAGTACTAGTAAGTCTTCTTTAGAATCAGAGGGAAGGCGGACTCCTGCCTCTAAATAAGTGATTATTCTAGCAATGATTTTCAAAAGGATGGTCAAGGGGCTGGAAGGATGGGGAAAGTGGCTGCCTCTGCAACACTGTATGTATTATCATACATAAGGTAAGGTACAGCTATAATCCAGCCTAGCCCGCTGGTGAGTTCTGAGTCAGAGAGGAAACCCTGTCTCAAAAGGAAGATGGTCAGCTCCTGAAGAATGACACCAAGGCCGTTCTTTGGTCTCCAAACACACCCACACAAGTGCATGCACACACGTGCGCACACAGGCACACAGACACAC